AGAGAACCGCAAACATGTTCAAGAAATTAAGATTATGGTTTCAAGAGGAAAATAAGTCTTCCACCCAGAAGATGGTGGCAGCATGTTCCTTTGAAAATTTGGTAAATATCTACCAGACTACATGGCATTACATCTAAGGAGACTGTAATATTAATATTCACCACTTGAAAACTCAGATCTCATATTAAAGAAACTCTGGAAAGTGCATATATTATTTATGTTGCTAGAGTAGTGTCCATTACTGTTGAGTTTCCACAATTTGTTTCTGCAACAAAGCATGAAAACATATAAACATGTCTGTATTTGTGTGAATGAGATGCTTACTCTGTTGTAGTTGCATATGGTTAGTGATTCCACTATTTTCATAATCCAGTAGGTACTTATGATAGTACTAGTGGACAATTCCCACTGAAATTCAACAGAAAATAATTTCTTTCACATCTTCATCATTCAACCCCTTTAACCTTTCCTTTGACCTTTTCATAACTTTATTTCCTTCCCTTCTTTTTGTTCTCTTATTTGTCTGTCATATCATTCCTTTCCCCCTTCCTTCTTTCTTGTGTTTCATATTCCTTACAGTTAATGTGAATAATGCTTAAAACAAGCTGTTACAGAAGAAAACCAGTTAAAATACTCGATATTATGCCGTGTAGGAAGTTTGGGGATGTTTCAGAGGAATGTACTATCCTTCAAAGAAAAGAAGATGAGGCAAGTGGTATACAGAGCTCTTGGTCTTGGCCACTCTACTCTTCATTTAGCTTCAGAGTACCAAAGACAACAGCAAGAGTCATCTGAAAACCATGCCAATGTTAGCAGCTTGCCCATTACATGTGGGTGGACCTAGGTTAATTGCCTTGCCATCTCCCTGTTGGAAGACAGTACACTGACTGCATATTTATGCTTGAAATGTAACCTGAACAAGCAAGCAGTCAGCTTACTGCTTGCTTGCTTTACTCTTTGACCCAGAGAATGGAGGCAATAAGTTCCTCAAAATCTGCAAACTTCTGCCAGACTTCATGGTGTCACGTCCTGCAAGTCAGTAATCTTTATAGTTACTCTCATGACAACCTCAAATCTCACAATGAAAGTATTGTTTCACAGCAGTCTTCTGTTCTCTGTGAGTGCAAAGGAAACACACACACAAGTATGGATCACCTTATACGTACCAGTATAGTATACGTCAACAAACATGGACTTCGATGCTGAAGCACCTTCAATCCATTTTCATTTGAACAATTCAATATCTAAAGCTACATTTTTAGAAACAACAACTGAACTGGACACATGAAGTGTCACAATTTATGTAGTGATGCCTTTTCAACTAAATAGCATTGAATGGACTATGACTGATGAACAGAATACAATGTGAAAGAAAGACATGTTAAAGGGCATTATCCCCAGAATATCCTTTGAGGGGCTGAGGAAAATCACACAAAAAAGATACCACTATCAGGATAGCTGATCTTTGGGCCTGGTTTTGGACAGTATATTTGGAATAAAAAGCCCTAGCACTAACTGCAATGTAATGTGAAAACCAGTAAAAAATTGTGTAGCTCCCTTGCAATAAATAAGCACAAGATAAAATCTGTTATTAAGATTATGGCCTTTTGGAATGTAATGGGTAGTACATAGGAACCTTGTGCCTCCATCTTTAGAGCAGAAGAAAAAGTTAGCCTCCTCTACCCTGAAGGTGATGGCAGGAGGTCACTCTGAAATATTAGGTACTATACATCGAACTGCATGCCATGGCATCCCAGAAGACTGATCTTAGTACTCACACCATGAGAACATTAGATCTCTTTTAAGGTTCTAATGTGAGCTCCTTTCGCATGAGCATTTCCACTGTCCCACTTTCTTTGGCAAATATTAGTAAACCATCAAATTAAAGGGAACTGTTTCAACACAGCCACAAGAATAATCAATGGCTTGCTAAGATGCACCACAAATCATAATTGCTTCAGTTTATAAAAAAACATCAATTCAGCAAACAACAATATGAAGAGAAATGGCAATCCATAAAGACCTCAAAACTATGCTGTGTGGTCTATTCTAGATAAAGTGAAAGTGACTTTCTGTCCCTTAAGAAACTTTCCTTATCATCCTTTCCAGTGTTAGACCTATTGAACCACATTTTAGATATTACAAAACATAAACTTTCAATCAATTCAGAGGTCTTCTCTCAACCTCTTTTTCCTTTTGGTTGATCTTGGCCCTCTACGTTTCTATAGCGTTGGGAACCGGGTGGGCCAATTGGCCCTTTTCTGATGCGTTGTGTTGCAACCCACTATATCTCGCTGTGTGGCCATGTTGCATCATAACTACTGCGTAGTTGACCTCGGGAATGTTTGCTAGCTTAGTCAGTAACATGATCACGCTCATTTCCTGTCACACCCTAAAGAAAAAACAACTGGTCCGCAATGTGTTAATGTCCTTTTGAATACTGTCACTGGGTTTTTCACTCTCTTCTTTATGAAATGATGCTATTTATGGAATTTTTAGTTCCCTCGTAATTTAATTTCTTCATGGTTCAAAAGGTTGTAGCCCACAGTCCTTTTCATAAAACACATTTCTGCTGTTATCCATCCTATCTCATAAGAAATGTGAAATAGATAAATATGACGATTTGTGGTGTGGCAAAAGAATATCTTGTTGACACTTTGCAAGTTCATCAGTTCAGATTTTTGAGATGTTGATCTTGTTCTTGTTTTTGGGTGAAGATGTCACGTGGAACTGGGTTGTGTTACTGATATTTCAGAGGAATCTGTTGCCTCCATCTTCAGAGTTAAAATGACTGGGGTGAGGACAGTCACAGATTATGGACAAAGTGACAGGACAGTGATCACTCATAATCATGGCAGAGGGATAGGAAACTGTGGTATCTTGGCCAATAACACATGCAAGAATCCATTTCCACATAGTGGCAAGATTCAAAAACAGGCTCAACATCAGCACTGATTTGCTATGAAAGCTTAAAATCAGTAGTCAAATTTCACATGAAGGAGCACAAATTTTTTTGCTACATCATATTAACCAGCATGCTGAACAGTTGCAGACATAAACCTGCTGGATAAGAACAGTCCTCAGGATCAGGCATATTCAGCAAGTTTTAAAATGCATGGTGATATGTAAATTCACAATATCTCATCTAATGTAAATATGGAAATGATATTACTCTATTATATTAAGTTCTTTCATAGGTATAAATTATTCATGAAGGTGAAACTGAAAGTCTCTGTTGGAAATAACTGTAGTGAATAATGAGACATTTAGTTCACTAGTTTTGAAAATATGTGCCAAGTTCTGCAACCATCAGTGCATGTTAAAACAGTGTGACACATGAGACAGGAGCTTTGCAAAGAAAGCAGATATTTCTGACTGAAGCTCAGAACCTCTGCTAAGCATGTGTGCTCTAAGAAGCCACCTTAGCTTGTGTGCAGTAGCAGTGCTGCATGTTCACTGTACATTTTCAAAATTCTTATGTTCAGAACTTAATATGGTATACTATTTTTATGACTTTGCCAAGCATATTTTTCAGGCTTGTTTACACTATGTTAACTAAAGGCGCTTCTTGGTGAAACATGAAGCAACAAAAACTTTCATATGGGCTATGTGCCTTACCATTTTTCCAGTCACTGCTATGGCTGTATCTGTACAAACAGTGACACATTTTTACCAACTGTTTTCATTTTGCTTCATGCAGGCATCATTGGCATTACACAGTTCTTCATTTGTTGTGTGGCTTTCAGTAAACCGTCCTGAATTTTATTTTGATAGCAGTAACAGACAAACACAACTGACAGTGCCAGTCAGATAATCTGTTTGTTACAAGGAAAAGCTATTATGCAATTTAGTCATGTGTTCTCTGTCAACTGGTAGATCTTGAATGTAATGGTGAACAGTTTTACTGAACTGTCTCTTCACATGATTTACTTTCACCTGCTCATACAGCATTCACTCTGCCATTTCAATACTACATGGTTCACTTAAGGTTTCTGCAATTGTATACACTTCCCCTGCATGTGGTAACTCACCCTGTAAAAGGACACAGTACATTTTCTGTGTTACTTTTTGTAGCTTCTGGCATTAGGAGCTGACAATGGTTTGGTGCTCTAAGCTTCCACTTCAGAAACTTGTGCCTGGACTCTTCACTCTGGGTAGTTTCATGATGCTCATGAAGTTTAGCAGGAAACACGGAACTGATCGATGACGCTCTGTTACATGTAGCACACTGTACATCAGGATCCAGTGCCTGGAGATACCAGCAACGAACAGGATTCAAAGTACTCCTGCTTCTTATTCATTGCATCTGTAGTCAAACCACTATGCAAGGGTAACATGTCTGGAGCTTTTCAACTGATGCCTTTGGATGATGATATTGAAGCCTGAGATTCACTTGTCCCTTCAGTTCTAGCTGTAGCTGTACTAGATTTTTCTTTGACATACCTTCCTGTAGTTGTCAATCCATTATGAAATGTGACTGGATACAAAAAGGGTGTATCACCACAAGCAATGGCAGTTAAATGAAAAAATTAAGTTACAAAGTGAGAGAAAAATAAACATTACATGTTTATTTCTACACATTGAACAGATCTAAGCTACTAGTTTAAGACAACAAATTCACATCTTTCCAATAGAAGCAACAGAACTGTGAATATGTCTCTTATTTACTGGCCTCACTTGGCAAGCACATGCTAGGTAGAGAAGTTCGTTACTACAGTCTCTATAGCAGACATGTCAATCAGGATATCGCACTACTAAAGAATCTTCCCATTTCTGTTAATAATATAATAATTCTTACTCCAGAATTTTGCAAAATAAAAAAAAAAATCACCTGGATGTTCTGTACAGATTCCATGAAGCAAAATATGGTAACCATCATACCAGATTATACAAATGTAATTTCGACAACTGTATCTCATCTAATATTGTGTAAAACCCAGGTTGAAATTTCTGCTTTTGCTAGCCAGCCACCAACCTACTAATGCAGTCTGATGTTACAGTTGGAGGAGTACCATGATTTGCCTCAAGATGGATCTGATGATTTCAACGATGAGGATGAAGACGATACACCTGTGGCTGTACCCACGAAGAGGCTAGGTGGAAAGAGCTTCCACATGCAAGTTATGGATGACTGATCAAGTCCTACATTATTACAGGCTACATTAATAATCCCTTAAATTAAGGGAAATGAATCTGGTCTGATACAATAGAAAGACCAAAAGAAACTGATTAGTAAGGCTGCTATTGCATAAGCCAGTGGACATGTGTGACATGCGTCACTCTTCTGATTTATGGTGTATGACAAGCTCAGTATAGGCCAGTCATCTAGTGAAAACAAAGTGAAAACAAAATGGCAGTGCACTATTACATCTGCATTAACATGAATTACAAAATTCCGTAATTACATTAGCATTGCTATACCACAATGAAAGACATTGCTCTTTGTGCTCACTGTAGTAGAGGCTAAATAAATAGGGTATCAGGTTTAATGCTCTATGTAGATGCACTAGTTGGAGAGTGACTTTGTGAGAGGCTAAGAAACAGAAGCTCTAGCATCTGATGTGAAGGATGGTGTCTGGAATACAAATGATCTAGTGTCATAAGTATACATAAGCAGTTGATGTAGGCCTGCGTGACATATTTATTAGACATATTGCCAAACTCAGTTAAAATTAGACATACTCCACTGTAGGAAATCCTGTTAGTGTTTCTTAACTGTTTGACACAGCTCACATTCGCTACCCCTGCTGCAGGAGGATCAGTCTTTGCATGCGACCTCATTGAGTGAAGGAAGCTATGTATATCTAGAATTCTGAAGTAGTTCCTTTGTAACTGGCAGTTAAATCAACAGCCTCCACTTCCTATCTTCTCTCTGACACTAGGTCATTCAGATGCTGGGAATCCCATAAAGCAGAAGTTTTCAGCGGAAGTACAGAATGCAACACTGTCTGCTGAAATGTCAGCCATTCCCTGAGAAAAATATTACATAAATTTTACATATCATAATATGATGCCATATAAGTTGGGAAGTTGTCCTGAGTGCAGACCTTCTCGTGGTCCACCATGGTACCATAAAAGGTTAAGAGGAAACTCGAACTCATACAAATGACAGGGACGATGTTGTTGCAATCCAGATGGCAGAAGCCAATGTATTAATGATTTACATAGAACAATCTGAAGTCTATTATGGTCCAATATAATTTACTTGCAGCTTTATATGTTACCCTGTGATTGCTCATGTCTCATGTTTCGTAGGCCAAGCATTGGATTTCTACAATACTGTTATAATAACCAGAGCCATGGCATTCAGCCCTGTAGAAACAGATTTCAATTTCCCTATCCAGGGTTTAAACACAAATATTATGTTTTTGATCATTATCCATCATCTTGTCTTTATCTAAAAACTGTCCTGTTTATTTTTCAAAACACAGTGTTTCAGAGACTGGATTCTGTCTCTGTCTTCACGTAAAACCTACTCATTTGGGCCCAATCGATAGAGCTAGTCCCTGTCTCTTGACTTTCAGATCTTGTTTAAACACAGCTGTCAATTCAAAAGCACAAGGAAATTTAAAATTCTTATCCCAGGACAATACAGGATATTTTATTTCTTGATGTGAACACCATCATTTTCAGCTCTCTCCTTCATGTAGTTTGCTAAAGCCAGCAGAACAAGAGCAGGTTCAAATAACAAGGGTCTGCAACCATTTAATCAGATCAGCTGTTGACCTGGCATCATCTATCACATCAGTATTGAATTGTACAGAGAGGAAAAAGTAGATAAGCTCATAGTTATAAATAATTTTAGTACTTGGAGTTCAGTAGAGGGAGTTAGATTATAAATGCCACTTACTATGAGATCTGTGTGACTGTGAGTTCAGGTAGGATGACAGCCAGACACTCCTCCTGTCAAGTTAGGCTGAGGTTCATACACTGGCAAGTAACTGTCTTCTGGAAGGTGACAGACAGGTACAAATGTTTCTAAGCAATCTGCTGCCCCATCTTCGTGACAGAAGTAGAGATAGCAGCTTCCTCCAAAACACTGATAACCTCTCTACCAAACTACACAGCACCACATCCCATGAGTATAATTTTCAGAATGTAGAGCATGCTTCATGGAAGTGTTACCCAGAAAACTCACTGTATGGGATCATCTAAACAAAAATATTTTGTATTGAGTACATAATGGAGATTCATTAGAAATAGACTATGATAAAGTAACACTTAATACAACAAGTCATCATTCAATAAATGGCCAGATTTCCCTACATGATTAGTGTAATGGTAATAATGACTTTTATTCAGTTGGGATAAAGAAACTTTGATAAGATATGGGGTGCAAGGCTGACCACTTGTTACTATCCACTTCTAACTCCTCTTCCAAAATGTTGTGTATATAGCTAATTTTGTTGCAGATAAGTAGCTTATAGCCCAAAATCTTCTTCCTGTTTTAGATTAGATTTATAATGCAATTCAACTGCTAGTTTTCATTACTTACTAAATTTATATGTGAGATAACTCCCTTTACTGCTTTCCACACAGTATTAGTATTTAGCATTAACAGTATTTATCTTGTATCCTACTGTCTGTGCCTATCTGCAATTAAGTAATACAATTCATGCCTGTAAAAACATGAAATCAAATGCCTTAAAATATTAGACAGCTGTTTTATTTCTGATTCATGTTGCAGGGTTCAGTGGCTCTGCAAGTGTATAGTAATATGAACTTGTGTGCAGCTTCTCTCCTCCCATTTTGTTTTTATCTGATTGTAAATACTTCTACTTTATTTTATATTTAATCTTAACTAAATAGTATCTTAATTTAACATGAACTGCCAAGTATTAAAGCACTTGTTTATTTCTTTTTAAGATTTGAAATTTAATTTTGTAAGTTGTATTGTATTTCAATGACAATAGTTACTGCTATATTATAAAAGAAAAGTCATCCCAAGAATACTCTTGTTTTAGCATTTATGTGTTATTAGTCTGAGTTCACTTCATAGTCTGTGTGCAAGCATTAGATTGGACCCTTGAATGGAAAATGTGAGCCAAGATTTGCACATTTACCTTAGTCTTCCAACATGTGAACACTCACTCTCTGTTAAGAGTGTCTGTAAGGACAGAGCAACATTTGAAGCCTGGAATTAATCTAAATAATATTTAAAAATTCAGTTCCTACTTCAAGTAATACACTGTTTACTTTTACAAAGACAAACTGGTTGATGTTGTTCAAGGAAATGTGTTTTTTCCTAGAATTGTATAAAGTCCATAACTATATTGTGAGCAAAATACAGAGTTCATGGCTGCTAAACCAGATGGTACATATAGAAACCACTGAACTTTAGAGGGTTACATTAGGAACAAGGAAATGCAGCTCTTGCATTTTAGAACAGTCAAGGGTTCAATTAGCACCTCACAGTGTGGATCCATAAGATTCATTAGGTTAGTTCATGTATTAGTGACATTTTGATGCCAGCAAAGTTAAATGTTTTCTTTAAATTTTCCTGTGTTTTTCATTTCCCTTCTATGTCTTTGCTAGCAGGCACTGTGACTAATATATTCTGACACATCCTGTTGGAGATGACATGTCATAAACATGTATATGCAGAGTGGTGAAAATGTAGTGCTACGGTGTAAGACTACCTCCATGTTTATGTATGATTTGGAGCCCTGTATCATTGTAGACTAATGGCTACCATGGTGAATGCAAAGATCACATCTCTAATAGACACCCTGGTCAACACCATGACACTGCTTGCTTATATGCTAAAGGCTTTGCAGTCATGCAAAAATAACCTGCCATGGCAACTCACATGAGTTACAGCTGTACTGCTACTTTTGCACCATTCCGTATTATAAAACACCAACACCAACCCTGGGCTGTATGTTTAGCACTTTCACTGCTAGTAAAGTCAGATATATATTGGCAGTTATTCAACTAAACTTAAGAATTTAGAGATCTACACATATTTTCATTCTTGAAGACAAATATTTTACCTACAAAACTCAACTTGTATCATGCATTTACATCATACTTTTTTCACAATTTATGGTCTTTGTCCATAATCATATTTTCTAAAAGAATATAATATTTTGGAAACTGGATCTGGGTGGAGAGCCATGTGCTCTGTTGTGTCCCTTAGAGCTAATCTCAGTCACTTGACTGATTAGCTAGAACAGGCCTGAATGAGAACATGCTTTCTTGCCCTTTCACCTTAGGACAGAAACAGATACACTGTGTTCCTTTAGAACATTAGATGATGGACAAAGTCTAGAAACTATTTAATTCCAAGTGTAATCTGTTCTTAGAACCCTCTAGAATTGAGTCACACTTTTAACAAGACCATGCGGCCCAGGTGTCTTTAAGCTGGCGCTCATGCGCTCATGTCTGGCATGCCAGCCAACCAGTGTTATGACAGTCATGCTTGACAACAGGATTTGGTGTTGAACAGCCTTTGAACAGAGCACACATGAGGCACACTACCCTTTTTCTTCCGTAGCCACCCAAAACAGTCTTGACTGCCAAATGTATATAACAGGAATACTGATGTTTCCATGGCAGTTTGCAAATTGGAGATACAAAGGGTTAGTACATAGTATCCACGTGTTGTGGACAGAGGGCATTTCTGTTGTGTTGATCTTAAAAACCCTGAAAGTATTGCTTCTAAAAACTTGTATTGATTTTGTAGTAAAATGACATTCAGATGAACTCTCTTATAGATAATTTATATTTTATTTATTTAGTCTGAGAGTGTTGTAACTGTGTACTGCATACAGATAATCATGAACTCTTGTTGGAAGATAGTGAGCAGTCCTACAAGCAGAGGACTGAATTTCACATTCCTCCATGCCTTCTCTTGTTTCCACTGAGACAATAGTAAATCAGACCAGACTGATCAGTTGCTCTGCTCTTTACACAATGTTTCATTAGCGATTCAGTCAGTTCCATCCATGTTCTGAGTTTGTACCATATTCAGAACTAAGCACAAGTTCAAAAAATTCTGCTGAAGTGATCTTAATTCATGCCTCTTTACAAATATAGTCTCTGTACCCCTTAGGGCAGAGCTGGGTAGTTCAGTCAGTACAATGAGTAGGCTACATGCTAGACAACCAGATAATTTGGGTTTGATTCCTGGTGAGGGAAGAGATGTTTCTCTTCCAGAGTGGATCTCTGTTGATTCCCTAGCTTCCCATTCCAATTGAATGGAATATTTATACCTTCAGGGAATAGTTTCTTTTAAAAATAATTCTGGGGCTGATGATACCAGGGCTCTTTCCCCGGGACTAAAGCAGCTCCATAGTAATGCTAACTACTCATCTACATCAAGCAACAAAAGTTAAGAAAGGCAAAGGCTCATAGTGTCCTGTAGTGCAAGTTGTAGCATCAACTATGCTATAGCACTCCCAAGTGATTACATTGCCCAATAATATGTCATAAATTCATTTCAACATAAGAATAATTTATATTCTAATAAAAATAAATCTCAGAATGAAAATTTATGTTTCTTACTGTTGAAATTTCTATGTACTGTTACATGTTATAAAATTGTAATAATTCTCAGTAGAAAAATAAAAATTCATTTAATGTTAAGTAATATTAAACAACAATCAAAATGTCACATTTAATCCATTTCAATGCAATTTGGTGTATACAGATCATCTTTTTGGGCAGTCATTGTTAAAAATAAATATTTTGTCTGTTACAGTTGTTTAAATGTTTACCTTCAGGCATGAAGAATACAGTAAAACCTCAATTATCTGACCTAAACTGAACTGAAGGGTAGTCAGATAACTGAAAATATTGGATAATATCAATAACAACACAACTGTATGAAACAATAACATATAAATACATAGCATTTAGTTCGTAACAACAGTAACAAGAAGAAATGCAATAGTAAACTTTCATAAATGAAAGTCTCACACATACATAGTAAAACCTTGAAGTTCATTGTTTATAAAAGCTCAAGTTAAGTCAGATAACATGGAATATTGGATAACAGTGTCAGATAATTGGGGTTCTGCTGTATACAGTTTTCCAATGTTGGAACATTTACTTTCTCTAATATTTACACATTAATTTGTCTGAGCCATAAGTGGACTGAGAATATTAGTCATAGTAGGAAGATTGGTAGTGCATAAATAAATTCACCAAAATGTGAATATATATGAATTAGGAATTGCTGAAAGATGGAAATAGGTGAATAAAATCTACAAATAGAACAGTATGGTTGTTAATGATAAACTGATGCAGCAGAAGGGGGTCAGAAATTCCAGACTTTTGTAAAATGAATGTGACGTACCATTTCCAACAGGTATCACCAGGATTGTGGGAATATGTGTCCACACATTACTTGTAGATACAAGCTGCAATATGTTCACAAACAGCAGGTTGCTAATCGTCTATATATATGTAACCTTTC